CATACTTTCCTGTGTCCTGACTGATCTCCTCAAAGTACTTCCCTATAAGTTTCTTCTCTTGAATGAACTTCACATTAGCCAATACCTCAGCAGACAGCTCAATAGCCTGGTTAAAGCCGTTCTCCCCACCGTAAGAAACATCCACGACGTTCAAGATTTTACTTTTGAGACGCCCGTCAAACATATCCGCTTGACTAAGTTCAGTCTTGAAGTCTGCGGATCCAGCAAGTATCAGTCCAGAAACGTTTGGCTGATTTGTTGCAGGACTTATGAAGAATTGGGTAGCAAGTTCGGCTGTCTTTCTCACATAGTTGTGACGCTTCTCCATTCTAAGACGTGCAAACCGAAGAGCTGATTGACCTCCTCTCCCGTGTTTCTTGGGAAGGTCAACACTGAACTTGTGAAGAACCTCCCTAGTGTTTCCACTCAATGTCCCAAAGAGAGTCCCATTACCATCCATGATTATGAACCCAAATTTGTCATCGGATTCCAAGAGTTCATTCAGAGCTTCTGTGTGAAATTTGTTGTCACAGAGGTACAGCGAAGCATTTATGGGCTTGAATGGTTCAAAGTCAAAAGTGACCTTTTTCTCCTTCCCATCATCTGTGACAATGGTTCCAGTGTAGAGGACAAGACCGTTTGGGGGCACTTTGTTGTAGAGCTTTAGCCTCTGCTGGGCAGATGTGATTGCGCCAAGAACAGATTGACGGTTAACTCTGCTTTTAATGTTTGATGCAGTTCCGAACTCATCTCCAAGCATCTTAGTTACACGAGAGACTTGGTCACGTGGAGGCATGATTAGAGAGATCATGCTGGTACCATTGCCTCTAGCAGCTTCCAACGCCTTGATCAGCTTCTTGATTTTCCACATCTCAATGTTGTTATCATTCTCATGTGTGTCAGCCATTGTGAGGTTCAAAGAAACTGCAAGATACATGTCACACGCTGTAAAACCCAGGATATACCAACTTCCAAACAATGACTCGGAGTCCTCAGACTATAGTGGCCACAGTTAAAGGGAAAACCTACATACTCCTATAACTCAATATTGTATCTTATTGTCTCCAACTTGTAAATACTAAATAGTATTGTAACAAGCATTTTACACTATTATGATTTTATTATTTAAAAGACTGAACTTTGAACATGATTTGGAAACAAAACAAGAAGACCAAATTTACTGATTTGATATAGTTTTTAATTCATTAAGAGATGAGGCAGAGGGGGTAATGCAAAAGTTCAAGATGTGAGGAGAGTAAAGAGGCTTGCAGAATGGAATGCGTACAAGAGTTGGATTATTGCATCATCAAATAAACAAACAAACAAATCAAATACATATGCACGCATCATTAAAAAAGAGTAACCAGATCGAAATATTTCAGCTGCAATCTAAAATGAAAAGCATAAATAGCGACTTTACATAGAAAATTGGCACATCGATATCACCTCCCAAATATGAACCATAGTGTTTAAACAGTCCCAATACAAATAACACTTCAAAAACGGGTTCATTAAGATCTAGATAGGTAATCCGTGCTTGATAACAAATAATGAAATAAAAAATTAGATTTTTGACTCGATCCGAAGTCACAAACTTCGATTAGATCAATATATTGAATCCAACCGATCGATGATACACAAAAACCAATGCATTAACCACCAATCAATACATTTAAAGGAGGATAAAAAACAAGCATATGATACATCAAAACGTAACAACAGCAAGTGACCCAGTGTAAAAAAATTGCTGCACCCGAGCTCGGAAAACACCAAATTCATATCCAGACCACCAATCTGAAGAAAAGTTTCTGAGATTGAAGGTTACAGCGGCGCTTACCTGCAAGATGGAGATGGGAGTATCGCCGGTCGCGCAAGCTTTACGCACAGTTGATAACAAACGACGGAAGAGGTTTTGTTTATATGAAAAAGAACGGAATAGAATTCTATGTGCAATCGAACTTCTGCGCCGACTTATCAGCCAGTCCACGCGGTAGACGCATATCCTATACGTATCTCTGTACGTATTGGGTCCGTATCCGTAATTTAATAAAAGTATCGGGCTTAATTTTAATAATATCGATACTTCCGATACCCGTATCCGTTAACCGATACACGTATCCGAACCTATAACCCCTCATTTGATACACGACATGACGAAAATTCAGTAGCCGCCCAAGCAACTACAACATGTGGAACAATGATAAAGATGGTTCCGGAAGTATGAAAAATAATGAAATACTATAATTTGTCATATCATTGTTTGATGAGCTTTAATTGAAACAAGACTTAGATGTAAATGCATATAGAGAACAAAAAAATGTTATTTGAATTTAAATCAAAATATCAATACTTTAGTTTTTTTAGACTAATCTTTGAAACTTTATTATAATAGTTAATTTTTTGTACTATTATAATTTTATTTATGAACCCCTGAATTATATATATTTGCAAATTATACCCTATATTTTTATTATTTATAAATATACCCCTGTTCCCGTATCCTATAATTTTTTAAAGTGCCGTATCACCGTACCCGTATCCACGTATCCGAGTATCGGCGTATCCGTATCCGTGCAACATAGGCGATAACGTGTTAAAAACCACACAATCTTCGTCAAAATAAAAAAAAAATAAAAGACTAAAGAGTCGATAGGCTCTCAGACTAACTTAAAAAGTGCAATTCACCTTTTGTATAAGAACTTATGTTCGGTAGTCATCAATTGGGGTGGTTCCTGATGAATTTTTTGATAAATTTTTTTGAGCATCCTCTCCATAAGTCTAGTTTACTCATACCAAATTTAAGCTAAAAATTCAATCGGAGAGGCAGTTAAATGCATTTTTGAAGATAATTGCACAGTTAAACAACGCAGTACATTCCAGAAAATCCTTTGACTGTCTTCCCGGTTGATTTTTAATCTGAAATTTGGTATGTCTAGATTAGACTTAATGAAGAAGATGATCAAAAAAAATCATCAAAAAATTTCACCGGAAATCGCCTCAATTGGTGACGACCGGACAGAGCTTCCTATATAAGGGGTGAATTGCACTTTTTAAGTTAGTTCAGGGGCCTATTTGACCATTTAGCCAAAATAAAAACAATAATAATGATGTTTTTACTAAGACTTGGCTGATAGGGCTATGCCAACCATAGTAGAAATGTGGGGTTATTGCCTAGTTGGATGTTTCACGGGCCGCTTTCCAGGTCTAAAAGCAGTCCACGAATTGAAAGATAAATGGGCGGTGAAATGTCTTGTTCAGTCTCATTATAAAGGTTGGGTTATTTTTAAATTTCAAAGTGAGGCAGATAGACTGAAAGTGCTGAGTTGCTGGCGGAGGGGCCATACACTATTTATGGTAAGTTACTTATTTTGAAGGCACTTTCTGAGGAGTTCTCATTTGATGATGAAGAATTCCTCAAAGTGCCAATTTGGATCAAATTCCCTAACTTACCGATGAAGCTTTGGAATGAAGAAACAATGAGTGAGGTAGCGTGTATGGTTGGGGTTCCGCTAAACACGGACATGGTTACCCGCGAAAGGACTAACCACAATTTTGGAAGAGTGTTAATAGAAGTTGATGCGTCGAAACCGTCCCCACTATTATTCCACATCCGTTTACCATCTCGGAAGGTTTTTAGGCAATTTGTGATGTATGAAACATTCCCAAATTTCCTCTTTCATTGTAAGGAATATGGACATCATCCATTCATTTGCAAAAAGTTAGCGGAAAAAGAAAAAGAGGTGTCTAAGATCACAGAGGATTTTGTTGAAGGAACACAAGGTGTTAGGAAAAAGGTTGAGACCTTAGTAGCTACCCAAGAGCAAAAATGTGAGGAAGAGACCCAAACCATTGTGACAGATCGAAAGCACACACACCGAACGATTAGTTATGGAGGAGGCAATTGAGGAACGCCCGGACTAGATGGTAGGTCCAAATTCTACGCAGGTGATAGCTGAAGCTAGGGAACATGTTACTCAAGAGCTCCCGCATGAGGATCATCCACTGATCACCAAAAGTCAATCAGATATGCTCCAGGATGATGAAGATTACTTTATCTACCCGATCTACTCAAACTACGACTCGCCCCACAAACTTGTAACCGGACTCAAACGTTACAAGTCATTACACCCTGCCGCAAAGACGTACCCTCCTTATCTTCAAAGGGCCATTCAGTTTCACAACAAACACAATTTGACGCTCTCAACAACTGTTGAGGTGCCTATAAATTTTTATTATTAACTCTTCAGTTTGTGTTATGTCACGTACTTTTCATATTGAACTCTGGTTTTGTACTTTAATCTTCTAATAAATTTGGAAAGTGTTCTCCGGCGCTTTCCCCACTTCTAATGGCCTCTCCGGGTAAAAAGAAATGGTTTTACTTAGACTTTTTCACTCCCACCGGATTAGAAAATATTAGATCACACCAGATCACACTAGATCATACTTGGACAATTATAAAATATACAAATACTAGACATTTTACATATCAGATCAGTTCAGATCAAACTAGATCAGGCAGACCAGAAAATTCAAGTCCAAGTAAAAACATCCTAATACTTTCAGTTCCAAATTGTCAATATTTTTTGTCATTCAAATACATATTCAAAAACTACATACAAATCTTTATAAAAATTGTGAAATCCGAATTAGAATATAATAAAAAAAAATGGTATTTTAATTAAGTCAAAAAATAAAATTATTTGATAAAAAATGTTGACTTTTCAAAACTATTTAGGAAGGAGGGCTGGTTAGCCGGACCATCGTTCTAGATGGTATTTGTACTTGCTCCATGTTACTTTATGATATATTCTTTGACGAAATTTATAAGAATAATCTATATTTTCAGGGATTCTATAATAATAATTCATATCGAGAGATTTCATAAACATAATCTGAACTAGCAATGGTGTTCACAACAATAAATTGAATTGAATTTAAACTAATAATCAATTAATACGGAATGACTATTTTAGGCGAGTTTTTGTTTGAATCCACCCTGTTGGGTATATTACCCCGGCCTACTACTGTTCAGATGCCCAAGACACCACCCTGGTACGGGGCCCATTTGGCGAGGCCCATTTAGGCTTACCCGGCTTATTTCGGCCAGTTGGACCGAAAGAATAGAAGTTAGGCCCATTTAAGGCCCAACCGGCCTTTCCGGCCCAGAAGAAGAGGGAACCCTCCCCCTTGGCTATAAATAGGAAGCTTGGCTTCCAAATTAAAGATCTGATCTCTGCTTCTCTTCTCCCTCCCTGCTTATTTCTTCATCTTTATAGCTGAGTTATTCAAGCTTCATTAATGGAGTTATACTGTTTTACTATGTAAATGAGTGATGGGAGGATATTAATGAGAAAGAGCGGGCTTGGACGTTAGCCTAAAAAGTCCCGTGGTTTTCTCCCTTTCCGGGTTTCCACGTAAAAATAGCTAGTTTATACAGTTTTATATATTTATTCACTTTTATACCGTATTAATCGTCCTTAATATCCGAAGTTTATGTTGGGCTTCCGGATCTACGGGACAAAACCTCAACATTGGCGCCGTCTGTGGGAAAAGATCAAAAAGATTTATGTGTTCTTGATTTTCTACAAAGATAACAAGCAAGGGGAAGGATTTTCGAAAAACGATGAATAAAGAGCTCCTGGTGAAGAATCCAGACCCAGTCAAGCAGATGGCCATCAAGCAGTTGTTCTATGTCCTAAGAAACTGGCTGGGACCGAAGCAGAAGATCCAACGTGAACCAGTGAACCAGCCATGGAAGCCTTCCAGGGAAGGATGAAGATGCAAAAGGGGCCCACACGCCCACCAACTTGAGATAAGGAAAATATCTTTCCGAGGAAAAGCCTGACAACACAAGTGGGGAGCCTGACAAGACAAGTGGTTGACTTGACAGGTTCATCGTTATCCAAACATGAAACACCGAATGCCGGACTAGAACTTCCCGAACGTCCAAGCTAATGAGCACTGCATCCCGAATGACAGCTTCCTGGAATGCCCAAGAAAAAACCTGACAACACTTTTTTGATGATTTGACATATTCATTGTTATCCAAAATCAGCTTTGCTTCCCGAACGCCGAACGGCATAAGAATATGAGGCCTGCTAGGGGTACACACTTTTTGTACACAAAAAGTGTACACTCGTCTGTCTCCCACAGACAAATTGTCTGTCGCGAGATGAGTTGTCTGTCCCACAGACAACTCATCTCGCGACAGACAATTTGTCTGTGGGAGACAGACGAGTGTACACTTTTTGTGTACAAAAAGTGTGTACCCCAATCTTTTTTCTAAGAATATTGAGAGGAGGTTGACCCCGGACGACAGATCAGGCTCAAACACTACGGACTAACCCCATCAGGATTTGCATGAACGGTGTCCTGGTATGACCGAACAGACATGATGAACGGGGCCAAGTTATGATGACACCGAAAGGGAACAATCTCGACAGCAGCACCTCCTGCTCAAGCAGTGTGGCTGCTCTGGCATCACCATAGCTTTGAGACCACAAGCAAGCATCTGTCTGGGACCATCTGAAGATCCACATCCCGGACAGGAATTCCCGGCCAGTAGTCCAGTACAGTGGCGCATGCCAGACGGACTCAAGCTGATCTCATGACCGACCCGTTCGAGCAACCACCCCCGAATGGTAAACAGATCCCGTTCGGGCAACCGCCGGTGACCGGTCAGTTTCCGTTCGGATAGGGAGGATAGATCCCGTTCGGGCTAACCAACAAGGATAACAGGGAGGAAGAGAGAAACGACCTGAGTTCCCAGCCTGACACATTCCGCCGCCCAACTAAGCCGCCCCTCTGTGCCGTGCGGCACTTGCCGCTCAAGATTCTGGAACACAGCCGCTCAGACTTCCCGTTCGGCACCAGGTTGAATTTTGATAAATGGTAGTCTTATGGCTGGGATGAGGGAGCGGGTAAGGCTCCGATCGATGTACTCCATATTGTGCAAGTGGAATTTGGGCACAAATTGAATGAAATCCAAGTGAGGGGTTTTGACTTCCGGAATTGAATTCGGAAGCAGTGATATACCAAAGCAAAATAATATGTCAACGGGAGATGAAATTAGAAGGATGGGTTCCAGACGTTCCTTTAGAAGTCAAACTTAAAGTGAAATTGGGCTGGATCTTACTCAAAGATTCAAAATTCTCTCCGGGCCAATAAATTTGTCTGGCAGCTGATACTCAGCCTTATTCAGCTAAGTACCCGACCTCTCACTTGCTAGTTAAATTTCAAATCTAGTTGATAAGGGCATTTATTATCACCATATTTTATTAAGGGTTAAAATATCCCGAATAAAATAAGGACCGAGTGAAGTCCCAATGATTAAGTACACTTCATTTAAAATTAAATGATTGATTATAGTGGGGGCTATTGGCTTACCTCAATCGGCCTTAATTAGCAGGCGGAGCATTTGTGGACCCGCTCGGCAAGGGCGGTTCACTCATGGAAATATTAATGGCTTGATGAAGTATTATCACTATTAAGTACACATCGCCATGATTTGTTTAGTAGGGATTAGAATATCCCGAGTTAAATATTATCAAGGGAAGCTCTGATGATAGATATTCACCGTCATTTTAAAATATTAATGACAGGTGTTAGGGATTAAAATTCCCGAACAGAATAGTACCGAACGGAGTTTTTATTAATAAAATCACCAACATTTTTAAATGATTGGTTTGACTGGGCGTGTCGGTCCATCCCCGATCGGCCCAAATGATATTGACTGAACTGTCTTTGGAGGATGTTATCCCGGTGACACGTTTTTAAAATTCGAAGCCACCCATGGATCTGTTCGGCATTGGTCGGACATCCATGAAAATATTAAATAAAATGATGTAGTAATATTACTATTAGTTACACATCGCCATTATTTGTTTAGTAGAGATTAAATTTCCTGAATTGAATAATGACCGAGCGAGACTCCAGTGACAAGTCCATTATCATTTAAAATTAAATGATTTGGTTTAATGGGCCGACCGGCCAACCCGCGATCGGCTAAATATAGGCGATCGGAGTGCCCCGAATGGTATTACTCCGACAACGCACCAAGTACTCATGCATGAGAGTATTCATTGGTTGATTAAATAGTATTCTTACTATTAATTGCACACATCATTACTTAATAGGGGTTAAAGTTCCCGAACAGAATAAGAGCGAACGAAGTTTTGTTGATAAAATCACCAACATTTTTTAAATGATTGGTTTGACTGGGCGTGTCGGTTCAAACTAGCTGACTGAACCGTCTCACAAGGGCGTAGCCCGGTGACATGTTTAGGGACCATTCATGGCCCCGATCGGCATTAAATGCCAGGTCGACAATTGTACCCAGTACGGGGTGAAATACGTACTTTAATTAGCTGAAAGCTTTCCTGAGAACGCCCGGGAAACCACTAGGTGGTTCTGAGAGCGTATGGGCAGTTCAAAAGATAAATCTAGGCCAAGGGTTATTATTACCACTTCGGCCGGTAGTCATGAAGAAAAAATAAATAAAAGGAAATATTATACATGTGTAATTGTATATGCTTGTATATATTGTTCGGCCGTACGGCCGCATTACCATGCTTATTGTGCAGTAAAATTTGTTCGATATGCTCGAACGGGGAATCATGAAGCACAAAGATATCTATGATGCTCGGCATGAAGCACAGAGACATTCATGACCGGCAGAAAAGAATCACATTCATAGGCGTTCGGTCAGCCCGAACGGGGAAGTCATGAAGCACAGAGATGTTTATGACGTTCAGCATGAAGCGCAAAGACGTTCATGATTGGCAACAAAAAGAAGGAATATTTACATTTAGAGCCGTTCGACCAGCTTGGACGGGGAGATTGCGAAACGCAGAGATATTCGTGGCTCGAAAAAAAAAAAAAAGAAAAGAAAAAAAAAAGAAAAGAAAAAAAAAGAAGAGTGAGGTTACTAGTGTGTAGAAGGAATCATGGACGATTGAGAAAAGAAGGGACTACAAATGTATAGATGTCACCACACATGAAGGGAAGTCCTATGGACTGTACGATACACGAGCTTTCAGATTACGCTACCTGACTGGCAATCCGGCCTCCGCCGTTTGGCACCTAGAGCAACATTATGGGCTGAGGGCGCCTGTAAGACCCTCAGATTTAAAGATCGGCCTCCCAGCGCCGACTTCCCTTTCACCACGACTGATCTTCCTGGCTCGGCGTGATGATCATTTGGAAGACCGGCCTCATTTCTGCTCCTCACGGATGAGGACCGTTGATTATTTGTTTCTGATCGGCCCCCAGCGCCGACATCATTACATGGCCACCGACCCTTTGGTACGGTGCCCTTATCATATTTGAAGACCGGCCTTGTCCCCGCACTGCGCAGATAAGGACCGTTGCTTGTTCCTTTCCGATCAGCCCCCGGTGGCGACCTCATTACATGGCCACCGACCCTCTGGTACGGTGCCATTATCATATTTGAAGACCGGCCTCATCCCCGCACTGCGCGGATAAGGACCGCTGCTTGATTTTCAGGATTGGCTACATTTTGGGGATCGCTGCCGCAGTTGCTGCCGCAGTTGCTGCCGCTGTCCTTGAGCAGAGGGCGCTCGCAAGACCCTTGGATTTATTGATGTTCCTCATATCATGATCAGCCCCACAGCACGACATTATTTGCTTAGGAGGCATCTTCACATTCCATAAAGTCTCACCTCGATCGATAGATACCACTTGTCTCGATCCATGGGGAGCCACCATCTCAGCACAAAAAAAAAAAAAAAAAAAGATGCAGGTTAACCAAGCCCGGACTCAGCTTGGGAGATGGTGTAAAAGATCTTGAGTAGGACGAACCGGGCGGCATCCGAAGTCATAGGGTGACCGAGCGGGGGATCGAGACTCTGGTCTTAAAATCTTGCCTTGGCCATACAGCTCGCCCGAACCTTATGGTGGTGGAACCCGAGCTGTATCCTGGAGGCGAGTCTCCATTTTGGCAGAGAATAAAGGGGAGACCCGGATTGGGAGCCTTATTTTCAATGGTCCAGGATGGACATCTCAACCTCATGATATGGATGACCCCGGACGGTAAAACCGACGGTATGCATCGGAATTATGGGCTTGGAAGATGGCAGACACTACACAAATTGTGAAACTGTCTTGCAGCAAGAGGTGATTGCCTTGCGGATAAGAAAGAACACGGATGATAACACGAACAAGTTACATCAGCCTTGGGCCTACAAGGCAGCAAGAGGTGATTGCCTTGCGGATCAGGAAGAACACGGATGATAACACGAACAAGTTACATCAGCCTTGGGCCTATAAGGCAACAGGCAGCAAGAGGTGATACCTTGCGGATCAGGAAACTACGAACAAATGGCGTAAATAAGCCAAACAGCTTGCACCTTAACCCTGGTGCTGACTTGTAGCAGAAATGACCTATTATCCAGATGATCTGACCGCTTCTGTAGCTCTACGATCAGCCACCTCGGCACGACGTGATCATCGTTGTACATCAGACCGTTCTAGTGGGACGAACGGTCGAATGGAACTATTGTTTGGAACGACCAGGGGAGAATGACCCGTTCGGCGAAGGCGAGCGAACGGGGGATATAATTGGCTGGGAGGTGATGTGAATTCATGATGGCCCGCAGTGGTCTCGAGTCAAGTCCAGGTCTGTCTGAGTCGAGTCAAGTCCATGTCCGTCTGAGTCAAGTCCAGGTCTGTCTGAGTCGAGTCAAGTCCATGTCCGTCTGAGTCAAGTCCAGGTCTGTCTGAGTCGAGTCAAGTCCATGTCCGTCTTAGTCAAGTCCAGGTCTGTCTGAGTCGAGTCAAGTCCATGTCTGTCCGAGTCATGTTGGTCCATCCTTAATCTAGGATGACGATCGCTTATTTTATGCAGCACGTTCGGGCTCCACAGCACCGTCGTGCCTGGCTTTCTGGCGGGCTCGTCCATCCTTGCTATAGGATGGCAACCGTCGCTCTTATGCAGCACGTACGGGCTCCACAGCACCGTCGTGCCTGGCTTTCTGGCGGGCTCGTCCATCCTTGCTATAGGATGGCAACCGTCGCTCTTATACAGCACGTACGGGCTCCACAGCACCGTCGTGCCTGGCTTTCTGGCGGGCTCGTCCATCCTTGCTATAGGATGGCAACCGTCGCTCTTATGCAGCACGTACGGGCTCCACAGCACCGTCGTGCCTGGCTTTCTGGCGGGCTCGTCCATCCTTGCTATAGGATGGCAACCGTCGCTCTTATACAGCACGTACGGGCTCCACAGCACCGTCGTGCCTGGCTTTCTGGCGGGCTCGTCCATCCTTGCTATAGGATGGCAACCGTCGCTCTTATGCAGCACGTACGGGCTCCACAGCACCGTCGTGCATGGTTTTCTGACGGGCTCGTCTATCCTTGCTCTGGGATGGCGATCATCGCTTTTATGCAGCACGAACGGCTGGCTCTACAGCGCCGTCGTGCCTTCTTCTCGGTCAAGTCCACCCATGCCATTCAGGGTCGGGACTGCCGTATTATGCAGCACGAGTGGGTGGCTCTTCAGCACCGTCGTGCCTAGTGCGGAATTGCACATCCCTTATACTTGCACTACAAGGCAAGTCATACACTGATTCAGTGAAGATAGGGAAGGACGTGAACGAGAATATACTTTCTCGAGCAGATTCACAGGCTCACTACTCAAGAAACTGGGGGACTTGTGTTGGGTATATTACCCCGGCCTACTACTGTTCAGATGCCCAAGACACCACCCTGGTACGGGGCCCATTTGGCGAGGCCCATTTAGGCTTACCCGGCTTATTTCGGCCAGTTGGACCGAAAGAATAGAAGTTAGGCCCATTTAAGGCCCAACCGGCCTTTCCGGCCCAGAAGAAGAGGGAACCCTCCCCCTTGGCTATAAATAGGAAGCTTGGCTTCCAAATTAAAGATCTGATCTCTGCTTCTCTTCTCCCTCCCTGCTTATTTCTTCATCTTTATAGCTGAGTTATTCAAGCTTCATTAATGGAGTTATACTGTTTTACTATGTAAATGAGTGATGGGAGGATATTAATGAGAAAGAGCGGGCTTGGACGTTAGCCTAAAAAGTCCCGTGGTTTTCTCCCTTTCCGGGTTTCCACGTAAAAATAGCTAGTTTATACAGTTTTATATATTTATTCACTTTTATACCGTATTAATCGTCCTTAATATCCGAAGTTTATGTTGGGCTTCCGGATCTACGGGACAAAACCTCAACACACCCCAAGAAGAAGAGTGGTGAAGGGAAATATGGGAGTAGGAATTCGAAGTATTAAATATGCATTAGTTCTAATTAACTCCAATTTATTTATGTGAACATTATTGTCAATTCGGATTATTTTCATGAACACTTTCAGTAGAGATTATTATTTTAGAATTCTTGAAAGTATAAATGATTTCTATTAATTTCACCTATTTTTTGGCAAATCTTTATGATATAATTATAAATAATTCTTAAATTTTGGAAATATAAGTGAATATATATTAAAGGTTTGATTTGTGAAAGCCTCTTATTATTAATATTTGATATTCTTAAAGGCCTCATTAAGCGTCTCAAAGATAATAGCTAGCCATCAAAGCTTAACTTACCTCTTCTCAAATAACCGTTTGATTGATTCTGAAGCCCTTAGGGATAGAGTCTCACCATTTTTTCTTGGCTTAAATACGTTTTTAGTCCCTGCAACTATGACATAATTTGGTTTAAACCCCTGTAAAATATTTTTCTTGTTTTTCATCCCTGCAATATACACTATTTTGTTTTTAGTCCATATCTGATTCTGAAACTACTCTACTTACAAAAAAGTTATTGTCAGTTACATAAATCTACTAGGAATATTTAAATTCTTCCTTTTATAATTTTTTTGAGGCTAATATGAGAGTTAAAACGGTGTAAAACTGAGTATTCACATTTTAAAAATATATATTAAAAACCTTCTAAAAATTAAATAAAGTACTTTTTTAATAACATGACAAAGAATTAGAGGAGATCTATTAATCGGGGTTATTTTGAGGTCAAACGGAGATTGTTATCATTAGTGATGGACTAAAAAGAAAATCAACCTAAATTGCAGGGACGAAAAACAAAAAATTAATTTTGCAGAGATGTAAAACAAAATGTACTATATTTGCAAGGACTAAAAACATATTTAAATCAAGCCCAAACACATCAAAGGGCGTTTACCATATGATCCAAAAACATTAATTAAGTCTTCTACCACTGATGCAATAACTTTCAGGGATGTAGCGGCTGAGGGAAAAAACCTAAGCGCCAGCGGCGATCTCGAGCTGCAGCCAAGGTTGGGTTTGAATTGGCAAGCATTGTGACTCGCGTGCGCAGGTCTTCTCCTTTGGTACTCCATTAGTTGATTTTCATTTTTGTTTTTTTTTTTATTTTCGGGCTGTGTCCCGAGCGTTTTGAGCCAACACCTGTGAACGAGATATGGTTTATGTTCTGCTTTGGATTGATGGTTGGGGTGCTTCTCCGACGTCGAGTTGGTAGTGGTTCGTAGTTTTGTAGTCTTTGTGTTGCTGTTTCTGTGTGCGTCGCTTTGGTTGGAGTAGTTCTATTTTTGGTTGTATTCACGTTTTGTCAATATGAAGATGATTACCAAGAATTATAGTATGATATCCATTGTTGAGGAAGATAACATGGGTTTGGTGCTAGCAACAAGTCCAAAAAGAAGTGATGATGTGGCAGTTGAGGGAGCCCCATGTTCAACTGTGGCCAGAGTGGTTTCGGACAAACTCATTCGGGCTGTTTCGTTCTGTCAAACAATAACTATGGTTTGGCGGCCAGTTCAGGGAGTTTCAATTGATGAGATCGGGGATTCCAAATTCTTTTTGCAGTTTTACCATGAAGGAGATCTTAGCAGAGTCATTGATGAAGGGTCTTGGTCCTTTGAACAAAACTTAGTTGTGGTCAGGAGTGTGGAGCGTACTGGCAGACCCCTTAAAGTTTCAGTGGGCCATGCTGATTTATGGGTTCAGGTGTACAACCTACCGATGGGAAGCATGACGGAAAGGGAAACTCGAGGGATAACCAATAGTATTGGATCGTTTGTTGATATGTTCGTATTACAACACGCATTTGATGCATGTTGGGATCGGCTTTTGATGGTTTTTCTAGCTTTTAGGTGTCATAAATCTCAATATTAGCTCAAGTTATGTTTACCGGGCATTGGTTCGAGTTTTGTGTTGTTTGGAATCAAAATCGGGAGATTAGAGTCTGACACTGGCACTTGAAAAGAAATCGGGATGAGTCAAGATGAACTCTAGAGAGATTTGAGAGCTTTGGAGGTCATTGGGAGGTTCACGATATAGATTTGATGATAAATGAGCTCTAGGATTGACTACGGGATCAAAAGAAGATGAATAGAGCTTGAAAACGGCGTTCATGATAACCTTCTGTCAATCATTCAAGCATATCTTTTTGTAGAAACATCCAATGTACACGATTTAAGTTTCATATTCAAGCTAACGTCAAGGGATACAAATCATATGAATATAGTATTGCGAGAATGTGAGAGGAGCAAGGTGAAAACAGACAAGAAAGTCAGATAACTGTTGTTGAGATTTCAGGATGCGACCTTCCACCATTTTATTCATATCTTCTATTTGGAAGACTCAAATCAAGTTTTGTAAGTTTTGATGGATAGATGACTTCATTATCTACAACTCTCATGAAGGAAGAATTGTCAAATTCGGAAGGGAAGGAGGGCACGCCGTGTGCCCGAAGGCAGGCACGTCGTGCGTGCCTAGAAGATGACCCGGCGAAGAAAAGAGCCAGGCACGGTCATGCCTGACCAATAGGCACGCCGTGCCTGAAGAAGAACGGAGCACCCAGCCCCTGGAGGCCACGCACGGTCGTGCCTACCAGGGAGGCACGCCATGCCTGCCTTCGGAAATCCTAATTTGATGCGAATTTCTCCCGTTTTCTTTAAATAAGGCCTCCATACCTCTATTTTGAGGTGACGGAGCTTAGAGAGAGTGCCTAGCACAAAATTTAGAGAGCTTTTCAGATTTGTTCATAATATTTTGGGATTCTTTGTAAGTTCCCTCTTTTTAATTAGTGACAATTAATTCTTTTTTTCAAATCTATTGATATTTCAATTATGAATTGTGAGTAGTTTTAATTAGGGATTTGAGATTGATGAAGGGATTATTCATTATGTATGGCTAGTTTCTTGATGGTATAACTTGCATGAATTTTTATTTAATTTGTGTATGCATGATTTAATTGATATCTCTTGTAACCTAGAATGACCACTGGAATTACAATTGCATGTAGAATAAATTAAGAGAGATCTAGTTTATTCTAAGACACCTTCACACACACTTAATCGTTCGCTAAGATATTAGTAGCGATTAAGGAGACATGAGCTCACTTGTCTTGGCAATAATTTAGGATCCTGTCGCATGAGAGATCAGCTTAGTCCTCTAAATTATTGTACTCTACGCCGCGAGAGTGGTAAGAACTTAGTAATGATTAGAGTGAACTCCCTAAATAGGACTAAAAAGTGGCAAAATTGCACAAATAGGACTACATTTTTTAAATTCCCTTAATAGGACTATTTATGGGTGTTTGGACAAATATACCCTTGTAACTTGTGAAATGTTTTAATTAATAATAAAATCATACAAAAATAATAAAAATCGAAAAAATACTAAAAATCGTTAAAAGATAATAGAAAATTAATAAAAATATTTTTTAAAAAAATCAAAAAAAATATTTTTTTTTAAAAAAATAAAAAAAATAAGAAAAACGTAAAATTAAAAAAAAAAACATTACCACCCCCTGCCACCCCCAGCAGCACCAGCTCCCATCACTGGAGAAAAATATGCCAACATTTTAAATAATGCCATAATGATGGCATATTCAATGAAAATGTTGGCATATTGAAGAGTAATTATGCCATTTTTTGGCATTTTCAAAAAGAGATGACATTTTTTACCAAAAGTGGAAGATATTTCACCAATCGGAGGTGGTGGTGCTGGGAGGCGGTGGGAAAGGTATCCATAATTTTTTTCCTTTTTTATGGGTTTTTACTATTTTTTATTATTTTTTAAAAAAAATTAAAAAATTTAAAAATTAATTTTTTTATTTTATAAATTTTTTATAAATTTTTTATAATTTTTTTTTACGTTTTTTAAATATTTTTTTACGCTTTTTTATGATTTTATTATGAATTAAAGCATTTCATTACGAATTGATACTCTTAGGGGTATTTAGGGTAGAAAATCAATGTTTAGTCCTCTTTAGGGAATTTAAAAAGTAGTAGTCCTATTTGTGCTTTTAATGAACTCATTAGTCCTATTTAGGACAATTTCCGTAATGATTAACTAGGCTCAATTAAATTAAATTCGTGTAATTAAGCCCGATCTGCCAGAAATCTGGTTACCCCGGAATCAATCGATGTTCCCTTCGTCATTAATTAGAGAGGAACCAAGCTATTTATTCATTTAATCGCATTTTAAATTTTCCAATCAGTCAAATCTCGCACAATTGCTTTTTATTTTATTTTCTTTTTATCTCTGAATTTATTTAATTCTTAATTCCCTTTTGTCCGTCCCTATAGAGACGATACTCGTACTTATACCACTAAAAAGAGAAAATTGTCAAATAAACCACCTTACTACTCTAAAAAAGTCGATTAGGCCCCTCAACTTAAAAAACACTCAATCAAACCCATGAACTCAAAAGAAAAAATCAAATTGGCTTTTTAGCAAGTGACCTCCCGGTTCCCGGTAAACTGAACACGCGTCATATGATGTGGATTTAAAAAAAAATCTCTTTCTTTTTGTTTTTTTTTCCTTTTTCTTTCCCATCCCCATTTCTTTCGTTCTGTTTCTGGTTACTTCCTCTCGTGGGTGAGTTCATGTCTTTCTTCCTTGCAAATCGCAACTGCACTTCTTTCCTCTATAGAATACAGCCCCCAGGCATTTCAGATGAACTCCGTTTCTATCATGGTTACGGTGAACGGCTCAAATTTGGGGACCACAGAGACGGTGAATGGTGTCGAAGGCGAGCTCGCATCTAAGCTTCACTGTAGCCGGAGAGGGGTGGTCCCGCACAGATCTGGTCCGCCAGTGGCCCGGTTCCATCTTAATTCCTGTTGCACTTCGGTGGTCTTTATTAATGGCGGGAGAGAAAGAGACAAATAAAGAAAGAAATCGCCGCCGGGGATTAGGTGGTTCAAACTTCAAAGGAGTGTTGAGAGCATCTCCAATGGTACAATGTGCACGATGCACACGTGGCATAAGAGATAGCCACATAAATATTAGTAAATAAATTATTTCTCTCCTTATTTAAATGATTTTATACAGTATTGGTAAGTTTTTCTCCACAATGTCAAGGAGACCGTCTAGATGTTGACATTGTTGTTGAAATTGCAGAGAAAAACTTACCAAAATTGAATAAAATCATTCAAATAAGGAGAGAGATAATTTATTTGCTAATATTTATGTGGCTATCAATCATGCCACATGTGTACCATGCACATTATAGCATTGGAGATGCTCTGAGCGTTGGACGCAGGGGCATGGATTTGGTCACCAACTTGCCGGTGTCATCTTATTCACCTGTGGGCTGTGGTGTTCTTCAATGGCAAAAGACAAAGACAAATAGACAAAGAAAAGAAAGAGAGAAAGGACTGCCTGACTGGGTATGAAAGAAAAGTGAGTGGGAAACAAAAAGAAAGGAAAAATTAAATCTAAAAGCCACATAGATAGATCACCGGGGAACCGGAAGGTTAGAAGCTAAAGAGCCAATTTGAGAGTTTTTTGTGAGTTCATGGGTTTGATTGAATGTTTTTTTAATTGAGGGGTTTAATTGACTTTTTTGGAGTAGTATGTGAGCTTATTTGACTGTTTTCCCAAAAACCCACTTAAAAAGAGAGGAAGTGTCTTTTTTTTTGCAAAAAAAGGATGATAATTAATACTCCGTAGAAGGGAGACGCATGAACTTGGAAAAGAAAAAAAAAACCTGGCAGTCTCAAGAGGGTAGCCCCTACTGCGGCAGTCTCAAACAAACCTGGCAGTACTGGTGAGATGAGACAATGATGACAGCTCACCTCTCATCTTCTACTTTCAGTCAAAAAGAAAAGGAAAATTCCTTTTGTACACGTTTTTGTACCCATCAGTACACGCATGTGTCTGTGAGAGTTTTTTTTTGTCTGTGAAGTGCGGTCCACAGACAAAAGCTGGTTTGTTTTGTCTGTGAAATTTTCCACAGACAAAACAAGCGAACTTATGTCTGTGGACCGCGCTTCACAGACAAAAAAAAACTCTCACAGACACATGCGTGTACTGATGGGTACAAAAACGTGTACACCAAGAATGGTTGAAAAGAAAAACCCTTTTGCTTTGCCCTTCCCTGCCTTTATTCTCTCTCCGGGGGTCAGTCACACCTTCTGCCCACTCAGGCATCTTAAGCTTTTGAGGTACTTATTTGCCTCCATATTAATTGGACATTTTCGTATTAAAATTAGGTGTGAAAAATGTGTAAGAAATACTTTGAACAATAAATTATTGACCAAAAAAGAAAAATGAAAGTTTACTTTGGAACGCAAAAAAAGAAAAGTTGAAGTTTTTTCGGGGTCGGAAGGAGTATGGACTTTGAAATTTATAAGAAAGAGAGAAATAAATAAGTTTACAAATTCTTGATTTACTTTAAAAAGAATGTGACATGATTTGTTTGACAAACAAAACAAAAAAATTTGACAAAAAACAAAATGATCAATATAGTAGTACATCTTTTGGTCAGATTTAGATGCCGTTTGGTACATCAATTATGTAATAATAAGAAAAAGTAAGTTTGAAGTTACTTTTCTAATTGTATTGACCAAAGTTACTATAGATGACCATTTTAACTATTTTTACATATAATTTTTTCTTAATTTTATTAATAAAAATACTTCATTTGTTCCTTTTAACTTTGTCAACTTTCCTTTTTTGGATGTCCCATTAACTTTGTCACTTTCCCTTTTAAGTAAAGAATTTGTGGTTCCAGTTAATTCTTTCTCCTCTGCACAAACTTCAACCACACAGTCTTTACTTTATTAATCCTCGTACCGGTCAAATTTGGCAAAGTCATTAGGGACGGAGGGAGTATATTTTAAAAATAATATTTTCTTAAATCAACAGAATCAACGAATGCAGTCACTTCAGCCAGAACTTCATAAATTCAGCCGGATTTTTGTGTTACCAAACGGACTCTTAGAGTACAAGATACTTGACTTGAACGATTTCACATTTATTTTAATTTAGAATAGAATAAACATCATCTCATCACACAACTAAAATCATAAAATCTACTTGTTCTCAACCGGGTTGCCTTCTTACTCAAATTGGTTACCTATTTGAAACAGAGATGGACTGGAACGGGTCAGGTCATATCGAGTCCGGACAGGCTTCGGGACTAAGGAACTCAGGCCGGGTATGCTTCGGGACCAGACCGGGCCCAACAATATCGGGCTTCGGGCCATGGTCGATGCCACCCATTTAATTAAAAAAATAAAAATAGTGCATTTGGGCTCAAACTGGGCCAGGCCGGGTCCAAAAAAGCAAATCCAAAGTGCGCCCCTTATAAATACTTGGCCGGGCTAGGCCTGGGTTGGGCCGTCATAGTTCATCAAAAAAATGCCAAAAAAAATCTTTTTTTAAAACATCCAAAGTTTCAAACTAGATCAACAATATGGAGTATTCTGTTCCGAGACTAGTCGGTTCTAAAAAATAGCGAGACCCAGGACCAATACGGTCAATACCTATAGTTCCAATTCCAAGTCAGTTCCAATTCCAAGTCAGTTCCGATTCCAAGTTGATCCGGGTATTCTAGATGATTCTGGATCCTGATTTTTTAATTTATATTTTATTATTTAAATCCTTCAAACCCCTTTCCAACCTTTTTCAACAAATGGATCCCACTTCTTTTAGGGAGTGTTTGCAGTAACTTAAAAAAAACATTTATCAACTTTTGACTTAAAAAACACTTATTTACCAAACATTGCTAATTTTTACTTTTTCTCGGCTTGCGTGTGAAAAGTGTTTTTTCCTTTTTTATTACACAAAAACACTTATTTTACTAAAATCACTTTTTTCTCAAACACTATCAACTTTTACTATTTATCACTTTTTACCAATCACTCCAAAAGTGTTTTTTTGTAAGCATAAGCGGTTACAAACACTCCCTTAAAATGCTTGTATATGGTTCTATGCAAAAAAAGTTAAATGGACCAGAACCAATGGTCTTAGTCCCAAAAAATCAGGCCATGGACCTGAACTCATTTCCCACCAGTCCAGGATCTTGTCTACCTCTAATTTCTACCACCTTTAGAAACTTACTCCCTCTGTCTCATTTTACATGTCTTACTTTCTTTTATGGATTGTCTCAATTAAGTGTCACATTTCCGTTTTTGGAAAAAAAAAATTGGTTCGCAAAATTTCGTTTTACTATACTCAAGTCTCAACCACAAATTTTACCTTTTCAACCACTTCATTAAAAATTGTGTCAAAACCAAAAGAGACACCATAAAATGGAACGGAGGTGGTGATAATCTTTATGAAGACCTTGAGTTAATGTGGATATGCTCTCCAAGCATTCCATTTCATGCTTCTCCAATCTCCATCCAAGCAGACCCTGAGTTAATGTTGCTAAACTATTCGATTCTGCTCAAGTTTTAGAAACTAAAAGCGTAGCAATTGCAGCAAAATAAGTAAGTTGAAAGATGCATGCTCTATTTATTTACTAATAAGCACAATTTGGTTACCATTTACCAAACAGAGCATTAGTCTCGTGATGCATGAAAGTACCAATCAGATCCCAAACTATTACAACTAGGCATCATATAGCCACAACAATAAAAAGCATATTTCCTAACAAACAAAAAAGGAAAGGTATCTACAGGTTGAAATCCTAATTATTTCCACAAATTATTGGAAATTCAGAATCAGTTCCAACCACAAAGAAGGCATGTTGCCATTTCCCAAAAGACAATGGGAGAGTAGTGGGAAAAAAGTAAAGCAAAGAGAATAGGAAGTTGGATTTTCTGCCTTTTTCACTACTGCTTTTCAGCTAAAACTAAGGATTGATAGCATTTAATCGGTTAAGAATTTACCAAGTAAAGATTATATCAAGAATTAAC